TCTTGTCTCTTGTAAACACAGAACATGGGTGGACCAAGTTTTCCAATCATGGTTCGAGTGAACAGAGCCAACATTGCAGGAAATGAAATTCATGTTCTCACTCACAGGTCCTTCACCAGGAAACCCACAAGTCTGGTCGAACGTTCCTGTGCCAAAATGGCATGCGCTGGAGGAGTGTTTGGTAACTCCCTTGCAGGAAAGGTGAAAACAAACGAACAGGATATGTCTACGGCAAAAGCCAGTGATTCCCTTAGGGACCCGGTGCAGCCGCTTCTTTTGGACATCGCAGTGCTGTCGCTGCGGGTACGTGTTAACGGAACACTGTTGGCGGTGCGCTCTACGAATTGCAGCTGCCGTGGTGCAGGCTTGCATCACTTGATCTCCCCGAGAAACAAAACAAGGAAACTGAGCTAAGCAAATACAGAGACCAGACAGACAAAGACCTGAAATGACCGAACGGATGCATGCAAAATCCACGGACAGAGAAAGTCCAAAAAGTCCAGAGGAGACAAGAGCCAGAGAGGTGATCGCACCTCGGCCAAAGTCCACTGGGAGAAGACACAGAAAGCAAGGCCGGTGGAAGACCTGCAAAAAGGGGCACAAAGGCACGGCAGGGAGATGGCTGGAACCACAGCCACCTGAGGCTGCAGCTGTAAAGGAGGCAACAGACGGAAAGAGAAGAAGAGGCACCGAGCAAAGTCCACAAAGCAAGCCATCCCCTGCCCTAAGCCATCATGACTGTTTCGGATACTTGGAGGGTGGCGTCTCGCCAGTGACCTCCCGGGATCTTGAGTGACTCGCTGCCAAAATCTGCCGGAGCGAATCTTGGATGGAGTCGAACTTGCCTTCGACGCGGCCCTCAAAAGAGGCCTGGCGCTGCTCTAGTTGCTCGAAGCGAGCTTCAAGCTTGCCAAGTCTCTCGTCGTCAGGCTTGGTCTTGGTGGGCGGCATCACTTATATATATATATATAAGTAAGAGGTCGTTGAGGTCTTTGAATTGTCGAGGGCTTTGAATTGTTCAGTCAACAGCTGACAGCAGCCGAGTCCACCTGCAGCACACATAGTCTGATACCCAAGTTTCTGGGGTGTGCTCATCTGAGCAATCCTTTTCAGCTTGCCCATTCCATCTTGGTCCTGGTAGCAGGATATCGGCAGCGGGTTCAGTCGAGGGGCCACATCGAGGCATAGATGATCAAGCCTTAGATGAGCACGAGATGAGGTGCAGATGCAGAAACAAGTTTTCAAACACACCGACACACCCTACATACACACCCCTACACACCCTACACTATGGAGGTCCAGGGGGCGGCCTTCTTAAGGGAAAAACGGCTGAGAAGCCTGTGTAATTTGGGTCGAATCTTCCATAGGAGCTTGCCAGAATGAAGGGCTTCTTGCGCAAGCCCTGAGGCAAAACAATGCAAACCAGCTACACCCAATTCAACAACACTAGTACACCGCACTTGGTGGAAGCCAAGACTCAATTGAGGGCATTGTGAAATAGAAAGTTGGCTTTCTGCAAGCCCTCCAGGTTCTCGGAACTCAACGTGACCATCGGGTTCCACACAATCTCGCATCGCGCAGAGATTGTAGAACAAAGAGGCCACCGTCCTCATATCCCCAAAAAATGGGGACGCATGCGCTCAAAGTTCCCTGAACACGCCCCTCATTGCCATCATCAAGGAACAAAGCATATTCATCAGTCGGGCGCTCTTCTGCAATCAGCAAAGCGATTCCACGAAGCCACCGAGCAAGGACCACGGACTCCTGAGTAGTATACAGTATACTTATCAAAGGAAAGGCATCGAAATCGATCAGTTGCAAAAGGTGAAGGCAGTCCAAGAAACTGCTCCATTGAAATGTTTCTGCGCAATGCTCGGATAGGCTCTGTCCGCCCGCAGGCGGGGCTCTGCTTCTTCTTGCTCTGAGCCTTTTGCCTCATGTCCTTTTGCGTCCTCTGCTTCTTCTTCTGCTTCTTCTTCTTGCTCTGAGCCTTTGTCAGCCTCCTTTGCGCCCTCTTGCTCTGAGCCTTTCTCAGCCTCCTCTGCTTCTTCTTGCTCGGAGCCTTTCTCAGCCTCATCTGCCTCCTTTGCTTCTTCTTGCTCTGAGCCTGTGTCAGCCTCCTCTGCTTCTTCTTGCTCCGAGCCTTTTCTCGGCCTCGTCTGCGTCCTCTGCTTCTTCTTGCGCGGACCCTCTCTCACCCTCCTTTGCGTCCTCTGCTTCTGCTTCTTCTTCTTCTTGCTCTGAGCCTTCTTCAGCGTCCTTTGCATGCTCTGCTTCTTCTTGGTCTACGCCTTTCTCAGCCTCCTTTACATCCTCTGCTTCTTTCTCTGAGCCTTTGTCCTCCTCCTTTGCTTCTTCTTCGTCTTCTTCTGTCTAACCCAGCATGAGAGTTTCAGCGGTCAGCAGCGTCATCCGGGCGTTTTCTTCCTTGTTTTTGTTCTTTTGTTGCTTGCCGCCTCGTCGGCGCGAATCATCCTCTTTGCACGCGCCTCCTCGTTTTTTTGCATCTTTTTCAACCTTTCTTCATATTCTTCCTTTTTGACTTTTCTATTCTTTTTTGACGGGCCTTCGAAGTTGACCTTCTGGATGCGGTCGTTGATCTCATCCAGAAGATCTTCTTTTTACAGTTCAAGCAGCCGCTTCGGGGTGGATGCACCCTCCTCGCTGCTTTCGTCTTCTTCCGTGGGGCCTGCGTCTCCAGACGGAGCCTCCTCCGCCTCCTCCTCCTTCTTTGTCTTTCTTTTTTTTCTCACCGGTGTGCTCCTGACAGGAGTTGGAGGTGGAAGCGAATTAATGAGCACCGCGTGAATGATGTCAAATAAGACAGTTTAAAGTATATTTTGGTGAATCTGCTTGTATTTCAGTAAGTGGCCCTCGAGCCGTTCTGGATCCCGCATGTCCTTAAGATATCTTATGACAGGTGACGCTAACCAAATACCAGAACCTTCCGACAGGTCGTTTTTGGGTGCCCCTTATAACCTCGTATATCTTTGAACATTTTGAACGCTTGAAAATCATGGAGTATAAAAACATGGCTTTAGTCTTTGCAGGGTGTGTGACCCCAAGACCTGAACCTGAAAAGGTTTAACTGAAAAAGGATCCTCAGCATTGCAAAGTGATCAACCGATCAAGTTCCATAGTCTTTTGGTCCGAGAATCGCCAAGTCAAACGGCGGAAGCTCAAGTTCCAACCCCATATCCGGCGGCAAGGTGTCCATGATATCCACCGAACTCCTCAGTTCGGCTTGCGATAAACTCTTTCCCCACCTCAATCCCGGAATCCCGGGTTGGAGGGTTGGTCGATGGATGTCGATGGGCCGTCGATGGGAGGGTTGAATCAAGACAAGCAGCGAACCCTTGGATGGCTGCCCTTTGGATGGCTGCGAAGCCCGTTTCTGGCTTCCAGGCAACTTGAATATCGCTCCCTTGCGATGTGCTCTGCCGGCGTGGCCCAACAGTACACTATGGCACCGACGCGCCTTGGGTAGACCCTTCAATCAGGACCACCCAGGTGTTATACAAAGCCGCTTGAACATTTAAATGAGCATCAAAACCTGATTTAATATCAGTAAGGATGCTTGCTCCACAATCCAGGCTTCATCCTTTTCTCTACCTGTGTCTTTGGGGACCAAGTGGATAACCGAGAGGTCATGCACGTTAATCAACAAATCAAATGTTCCAGCAACTAAGCTGTGGGCACGCATTCGTCTTTAACTCAAGAGGATTTGTACTGCGTCGCGAACTCACGTGGTACCATCTTTAATTTGGAGTCCACAAAGGCAGCCCTCAGCCACTGATTGGCTTTTTGCCTAAGATCTCCTCCTGGACACAACTCTTCGTGTTTCCGAACGTAGCTGGCATCCACCCCTCGAACCATTCCTCAACAGGGGAACCGAAACACGTTAAAGCCACCAGGATCCAGCCACCCACCCAATGAGCGGCCAAGATTCCCTGAGAGAGGGCTCGATCTCTGCCGTTTCTTCGTGGCAGCACTGCGAAGGAAAATCTAAGAAATTGAGTGTCAAGTCATGGTTGAGTTTGTCGTTGTTCATGGTTGATCCGCGTGGTTGCGCCACTTGGTAGTTGAACCATGTGGAAGCTTGAGGGTTGAAATTTATCCATGTTCAATTTTCTCTCGAGCCCCAAGCATGCCAGGTGGCTGCGGTATACCGGTGGCCAGGGCACGTCGGCAATTGACCCGAATCGACTGAATCGACCCAGGATATCTTGGTTGGTACATTCCCCAAATCCTGTCCTTTCACAAGTTTCCCTTACAACGTTGTGATTCTATACGAGGATCCCTCAAAAGCACTGGTCAAACACTTAGATTTCTAAGGTTGGATGCACTTGGTATAGTGTTCATTCATTGTCCACCAGTTGCGTGAAGTCCTTTAAGATATAATTGGACTGTGCGCAGCTAGACTGATCTTCACCGGTCCGGAATTGTATGCCTTCCTTCTGCTTCCTTTAAACCCTTTTCCAGACCACCTGTGAGTCATTGAAAAGCATCATGGTGTGTATATGATATTTGTATCGTGTGGAAAGCGATGTACACCTGGATATCCTCGAAGACAATCCTTCTTTGCAAAGCCAGCCGGCATACCGGGGTTACGGCAAACCCCTGTGGTGTTTGGATTTTCCGTGGCAGGAACTGGGATAAGCAGGAGTGTGGAGGAATTGAGGAGTGGACAACATTTTTGGTCAAACGGGGAGCAAACATGGCGATGCGAACATGGCGCCTTTGAAGAGTACCAACACTAACACATCCACGAACATGTTTGTACAAACAAAGCACTGTCCACTGTCCATGTGAGGTTTTTCCCTTTTTGACACAGCGTGGAATCATCTGCTTACGGAACGTGGTCACCCGCCTGGGCGGCCCAGTTGGACGGACTCGTTCGGAACCCGCACGCTCCCGAGGTTTGAGAAAAAATATCCTTCGATGCCCTTCAGCATGGACCGGAGGCCCTGCGACGCGGATGAGCCGAACCCGCTGACGTGATGGGTTCCGAAGGCGCTTCAAAACGAAGGCGCGCGGCGCTGCCACGGAACGTGCGGAGGTATTTGATTGTCGGTTGGAAGGTGATTGCCAGCATTTCCGGAAGGGTTTTGAGGGCCATCCAGTGAGTGGATGTTCGGGTGCCTATCGGACCTATCCTCCTTTTAGGCACCCGTTTGTAACGTTTATTGCACTGTTCATCGGTGACATGACTGGAAACTACGGTTTTTTTAATTGTTCTTAATTGGAATCAAAAATCTGCCACAAAACGACTGGCTGTCTCAAACTTTTGAAAAGGCAACTCTAGCAATCCTGACACTATACAAGTGCTTGGGTATGTTCGAGAATACAAAAGTGGCGATGGAATTCCGAAAGTCTAGTGAATCCCTTCTTAGGCCCGCCTTTGTTTCCAACCTCAACATGTTCAAACGGCTCGATGCAGCCTTGGGATCCCATATTCGTAATCTGGGACAATTTGCCTGCAACCAACAAACTACAGGTCTTTGTCTCAAAAATAAACTCCAGCGCAAGTCTTTTGCCTATAGACTTGAGGTTCAAGTTCCTGCAAAGTGAAAAAGCGGAAGAGTTGCTGTGAGAATTGGCAGATACACCTTTCTAACAACCCGAAGGTCCCCCCCACGTAGACAGTCATGGGGATTCTTGTAGAGGCGCTGGCACACCAAGAAGAACGCGACTTGTTTGTGGTTCGTGTATGGTGTTAAGCTTTTTGAAACGTGATGATTGCCCTTGAAGAGGGAGAGTCCTTCACAGTGTCAGGATGGTCCTTGTCACATGATTCAAGGCAGTCCTTGCAGACAAGGCTTTGGGAGAAGGCTCACAACTTGGAATGCCAAGCTACTATGGTTTGGAGCTACGGCTGACCGAAGGTGATTACCACGCCTTCACCATGGTGGTGGGGTACAGAAAAGGTTTGTACATGACACAATGACACGTAAATGGCAACTACCCAAGAGGGCTAATACATGCGAAAACGAAACAGCACAGAACAAGGAGACAGGCCGACAGGAACCCAAGCAGGCAAGAAGTGCGCTACAGTGTCTTGTACAGTTAATTGCACGATGCGTTTTGAGTTTGTTATCATGTGAATTGAACATCCTGTTGTGACGCCTCAACCAGCTCAAGCCACGAGTTGAACACGTGCTTTTAGCACCATGGTTTGAAAGTTGGGAGGTGTTATCCAAAAAAACGCGAGTAGCTGACCCACAGACCCACAGACATTTGATCAGCAGCTCCAACTCCACACTTGATTGTTGTTACAGGCGAAGACCTTCGAGATGTGAAGACAACGGTGCGAAGAAGTGACGATGCAATAGGAAGTGCGGTGAAACACCGCATGGGTTGGTTGAGGTGTGTGTTTTGGCCAGACCCATCTATATATATATATATTTTTTTGCTGGCACATGGCACAGACAGTCTACCAGACTCTACCACCTCTTGAATTGTCATAGACCCAAGTCAATCACTGGACGAACCAAGAAACCCGTGGTGCAAGTCGCCACAATAAACTGTACCTCATGCGTAAGCCCCGTGGCAAAGACCACGCCCAGCACCGCCGGCGTCGTCGGAAAAGGGGGCCACGGGTGACCGCTGTTCAGCTAGAGCTTCATGCCTAGTATGTCCTTGACAGGGCAAACCTGCATCAACTGAGATCATATAAAATCCGTGACAATCCACTTTGCATGTGTTTGTCTTCGTTTTTTGAATATATGTTGGTATTGATGTCTTGAGCGACCAGAGATCGACCCTTTCCCCTAATTTTCCGTGGTCGACCGCAGAGGCATTTTGCTCAACATCACGGCCTCTGCACCTGGACGTTCCTTTCCAACCTGGAAGGTGTGAAAACGGCACACGTTTTCCACCAGCCGCGGCGGCCGCGTTTGCCGCGTAGAAACCATTTCCCGACTTCGCGTGACGCGGCGCGGAAGAGAGATTGACGAAGATTCTCCATCTTCTCCCGTTCAAAAAGCAGATTCTACCCATCCTGCATACGGGCACCCAGAGAAAGCTCCAGGGCTCGGGGGATATGTGTTTGGGCAACTGGTGTTGCCATGGAAATGAAATCGCACTGGTGGATGTAACTCTTAAGCAAAAACCAAGAATGTGGCTGGTGGTGTTGGCAGATGTGTTTTCATATCAATCTGCGAAGGACTCCATTTGGGCGTGATGCTTTGAACAAAAAACGCCGCCAGGGTTAGAACAGAGGTGGAGATCACCTTCATCTCCATGAAGGGCTCCTGGTGGGAGATCTGTTGAACAATCCAGTTTTGCATCAAACCTTTGGCGCGAAAGGGGCGGGGAGCCGGGAGCCGGGAGCCTGGCGAGCGAAAGGTCACGTTCAGCACCGCGCAGCCCTTGGGCGATGTGGGGAACGCCCAGAAGAAAAGATGAATCCTCCAACATGTCTTCTATAGCTAGCTCATGCTAGCTCTTCAGGTTGTGGTGCTTCAAATTCACCCGCTGCACAGCAGTTTCAGCGTAGCACATGTGTTCGTGTTGTATTCTGATCAGACACCTGGGCGGTTGGCAGTGTTAGTTGCAGCAGCAGCAGTGGTACACTGAGAGCAGTACTGGGGCAGCAGCCAACTCGAGCCGTTGACCATGATGGTCTTTCCGACAGCTATACTACTAGGGGGCGCATGAAGCACATCGCCGTTGCTGGTTATGGCTGTTGTTCAAACAGTTCTTGGTTTCTCCAAAAGTGGTCCCAACATCTCCTTACAGCTGGATGTGTCCCAGCTGTCATTCTCCTCATCCAACACCTAACCGATCCCTCCCAGGTCCTACGTGGTTGGGCCAACACACGGCTGGGCGTGGACCTGACAGAGCAGGCCGCGAAAAAGAGCAGCACTTTTATTTGTTGAAGCATCATTTAATTTGGAGGTACCTGGGACCATTTAGGACCCTATACCCTCAAGATCCACAGACTGAGTCAAGCCCTCAGACGTGAATTAACCCCTCTCAAAAATCAGTTTACACCTCCAGATCCCTCCAGTCATCCCCTCAACTCCCAGTCACACTGTTCTCCTCAGAGGTGAACTAACTGTGGATCTCTCTAGGGCAAAGTTGACTAACTGTTTTGAAAAACCAATATATATATATAATATATTATATATAATATGTGGGGTGGTCAAGAATAGGCAATTTCTTGCAGATCCTCCCAAATCTCCTCAATTCGTTTTAGATGACTCCAGGAAACCTGTAATCCACCTGTTCCACTCGCCCGAGACGGTGGCTGGGGACGTGCTGCCGCCAACCCACCACGTGCAGGTCCCGGAGAAGGCGCAAGCGTTGGCGTCCGATGGATCCGCGCTGCCCTTGACCGAGTCCGTGGGCAGCCGCGCACTGAGTCTGCGATTCTGCAGGTTTCATCAGCGATGAAGGCCTCCATCTTTGCTGAATTAGGAGGCCATTCATGGCCATTCGGCTCCCTTTCAATCGCGAAAAGGTCGGTCAGACTGAATCCACTGAACTGCGATCGCAGTGGCACACGGGATGCGATGAGTCGGACGCAACTGAGCGAAGCACCAGTGTTTGACGGTCAAAACCATGCCGCTTTTCATGCCACACTGGTTGGAGGGTAAGGAGGGCAGCATATTTGGAATGTTTTTGGAAAGTCTTACTGTTCTTTGTTGTTTTCAACAACCTTTAAACCCAGATGTGGGATGTTCAAGTAATTATCTTCCAGACGCACCCTTATTGAGTCTTTTGTGGAAGGGAACCATAAATATATTTTAACCAAATCATTACGGAACAGCTCAGTAGCTGAGTAGCTGCTGTAGCTGTCTTTGTCTTGTGGAGGTGGTTGTGGATTCCCAGCCATGTGGTGCCATGTGGGTGTGTATTAAAATAGAAAGACCTCCCAGAGACCTCCCGGAAAAGGGAACATAGACCAGTCTACCCACTGGTTGTGTGTCCCGTGATTAAATACACACCCATCCTTGGAAGACCCAGTGACCCAAGGAACGACACTTTTTTCCATATCCCGAGCTGTGAGTGGTTGGCCCGAGCTGGGCCAGTCTGGGAGAGATCGGCAAAACAAGGCCCAAGCTTAGGCCCAAGCTTTGTTGGGTGTGGCTCGAGCAGTATGACCCAGGGACCAGGTGGTTTTAGTATGTTTTAGTTTACTGACGTCTACTTTGCCTTTACAAGGGTTTGGATGGTACATGATGGTACGTTGTTCTTCAGCCGCGACCATAACAAAGAGTTCTCTAAGAGAGTATGAAAGGAGCAGAGCCTAGCAAGACTCTTCCATGAGTTGGCTGAGTTGAAAAGGACTTCAGTGGCTTCAACCGATAATATAATCATAGTTCATCTAATGTATTCTAATAATAAAGATTGGACACGTTTCCTTGAACGACCCACTGTCTTTGGGGCTGGCAAGTTTCTCAGCTCTATTAGCTATCGAACGAACATTGAACGGTGGGACGGTGGGACCATTCCTTTCATTCTGAAAGTGTACACTGTACATTGTACATACATGTTGGGTGCGGATTCGTGCGTTCACACCCGACACTGAGGCCTGCGCGAGAAGCTCCGCATGCGACAGGGCATGGGTCCGAGGAGAAGGGTGCCACTATGCATGCATTCTTTACAAGTTTCTAGCAAATACTGTGCCATGAATCATTATCCTTTGACATATTCTCTCAATTTGTACTAGCCGGGCTATCAACTGGAGCTATCACCTGTTACAATATCCCAGGTTCAAGTTGTTTTCATGTATTCCCAAACCTGGTGATCGACAGAGGAACTGAATCTATCAACAATCTAAAGTAATTTGGGATTTCTACTGTACCATCCTGATCCATCCTGTGCCTTTTCGGGAGATGCCTCCCGGTGCCTAAAGACTTTCGACCGCTGACCTCTTCGTGCCATCTTCGTGCCGCCTGTGAGGTGCATACACCTTAGATGTGCTGTGGCCAGCTGAAGCATTGTCGCCGTCCCAGAGAGAATCGAAGTCACCAAAAGTCATCGCAGATGGACACAGTCAGGGTTCGGAGATGGACGGAGCGTCGGTTTGAGGACGGGACACCGAGACCGAGACATCGGGGGGGAAACATCGTTCAAGAACGGAAACCGACATGGAGTCCGTTGAGACGGTGATTTGAGACGGTGACAGTGGAGGTATGCTGAAAGGATCTGAAAGGCGAAGTTAGCAAAGCCATCTGAGGTGTTGATTTCCTAGACCATCCCAGGGGGTGGGCAGTCCATCCTGGCCAGCCGAAAAAGACGGTGCATGGGCGCCAGCTTTGGGCGTCAGATATCCGCCATGTCATGCTTTCTCCATGTCCATGAAGACTCACTGATTCGATCGCAAGTGGTACTTGGTCCATTCTCCATTCGGTGGGTGCTACGGAAGCGGAATCGTTGGAGCTTTGAGAGGTGCAGCTTGTGATCGGTGCTTGTTGCCAGGGCCTAGCAGCTGCACCCCGAGAAGAAGGACATAATGGTGTATGAAGGAGCAGAGTGATCTCAGATTGGGGTGATCAGCCTTCAAATTCATTCTGGGCCTATAGAGTCTTTCATGCAATGTCAAAGCAAAATGACTCTACTGAGGACTTCGGTACTCCACCCCTTACTCTTCACCAAAACCCTTACTGTAGTACATCACAACGGTTCAAACACTGACAGCCGCGGGCCGAGACATCCACTCCGCCATGGGCAACGTCGCGATTTGCTGCGCGGAAGAGAGGCCCAACGACGGTGACCAAGAGACGATGGTGGCAGAAGTCGCGATGCGCCCCTCGTCCGGACGACTCCGAGCCTCTGGGTCCGGAGCCTGGCTGGTCCGTGGTTGGGTCGCTGGCTGCGGCGCTTTTGGAGGTGCTTTCGGCTCGGGCTCCAGGGGCGGCGGGCAACATTCCAGGGTCCCTGGTGGAGGTTTGGGGAGGCGTTGGCAGAAGAAGATCAGATCAGTCAGGTAGCTAGTAGCTAGTATATATAGCATTAGTTCTATGCATAGCCGACTTCAGGTTTTGCAAAGCCATTTTGCATCGATTTGTGATTTCGCCCCCATGCTCCATGTTATCCCACACGACTTGTAGCCTGAGAGGGCTCAACTGAAAATTAAGAACAGCACAGCAATTCAACAGAGGTCGAGTAGGTACTGATGAGAAGACGTGCGATCCATTCTTACAGGGGTTTGCGAGTATGTAATTCGTGGAGACACCCCAAGTTGCAGGTGTTTGGAAGAAACATTAAGAAACAAATCAACCCCGGGCCGACTTGGCTTGAATGTGAAATTATATACAGCATGTTTACATGCATGTTTACTGTAGATAAACCGAAGCCAAGCGGTGCAGTCTTTGCTTTTTTCGGGCGGGGGTCAGGTTGGCACTGGAATTCTTGGTAAGGACCCCACCCTGAACCTTTTTCGCCTCTTTCACCCCGGTTCGGGGACTCACAAGTTCGGGGAATCACCAAGGTGAAGAGGCAGCTTTTATGACTACACCCTTAGTCATCACCTTCTTGCTACCGGATGGGAACTCAACGCTGCTTGGCAAAAATACCGCGATTTCTTTTTCAGCGGGGAGCGGCTGGAGACCGGACGGTCGATATGACTGGGGCCTGTGGTCAAGAGACAATACGCTTTGTTGGTGAAGACCATTCATATATACTAGTATATATACTGGGATTGCAAATTCCATTCCTTTGAATCTATTGTTGCTTGTATATGAGATGATCCTACAGATGCCACCTACAAGGTTTACATGAACGGAGGCTTGGCAGGCTGAAGAGCCGGAATAAGGCCGTTCTTGGACCGCCGTTTCAGCCCTCAACGTATAGTGAAAGCAGTTTGCACCGCCCCGCCTTCTTCGCGACATATCCTCCCGAAGCCATGCGTGAGCTCGTCCACATTCAGGGAGGACAGTGCGGCGACCTGTCAAGCAAAGCAGTGCGACGACCGTCGAGACGCAATAACTTTAGCAAGGCTTCCCTCCAAAACTCTACTCAAACACCACAATCTATAGATGTACTGGCTTGGGGAAGGGTGTGTGCAGAATGTGTTCGCCCATATTGATTATTAGATCATTCTTATAATATACACCGAACAAGATACATGCATGCAACCTTTGCTTTGTGCATGCATTGTTTTGTTGCTCATTTTGTTTGTCTAGTTATTGTTCATGCAATGCCTTCCTCTCGTTCCTCTTTGCCTAAGGCAATCAGATTGGTGCTAAGTTCTGGGAGGTCATTGCAGACGAGCACGGCATTGATCCCACAGGAAACTGAACGGCATTAAATTGGGTGTCAATGACAAGACAACATGTATCCAATCCAAGTATGGCCATGTATAACAGCAGCGACCACTTTTGTCCACGACCACATCGAGCTTGTATGAACTTGCAATTGTAGTACGCAGAGTAACAGCCCTCCGACCAAGTGGTAGTGTTTGTTGAGTGGCACAAAGGGCATCGCTACTAGGAACAAGAACGCTACTAGGAGCAAAGGGCATCGCTACTAGTAACAAGAGGCTACTAGGGGCTCCTGGCCTTACTACTAGGAGCAAGAGGACGCTACGAGGAGCAAACGGCATTTCTACTAGGAGCAAGGACGCTACTAGGAGCTCCTGGCCTTACTACTAGGAACAAGAAGCTACTAGGAGCAAAGGGCATCGCTACTAGGAACAAGAAGCTACTAGGGGCTCCTGGCCTTACTAGTTACTAGGAACAAGAAGCTACTAGGAGCAAAGGGCATCGCTACTAGGAGCAAGGACG